CTCCCTCTAAATAAATAAATAAATAAATAAATAAATAAATAAATTTCTTAATTAGAGCTTAAGCAATTTACAACTATGAATAAAGCTAAGATACAAAAAAGTAAAATATATCTTATTTGTAATACCATCTCTGAACCTATACATATTTATTAGCAATTTCACTCAACTGTGCTGAGAATACTTAAACAGGTAATGCTAACTAAAGACATTCTTTCATAATCTATCCAAGTCCCTAATGCAATTCAGCTCCTAAATTTTCTCTTGACTCCACTTCCACTTAACATCATTCAGCTGAAGGCCTACTATAACAGACAGAGCAAACAAAGCACTAGAACACCCTGAAGAGACCACTCCAGTAGACAAGAAAGGAGGGGAGGAAACAGGAGGAGAGAAGAAGGGAAGGGAGACGTGAGAGGGAATGAAAGGGGAAGGAGAGGAGAGATAAAGGGAAGAGGATAGGAGCACTTGTGTGGCTCAGTTGAGCGTCTGACTTTGGATCAGGTCATGATCTCGTGGTTCCTGGGTTTGAGCCCTGCACTGGGCTCTGTGCTGGCAGTTCGCAACCTGGAGATTACTTCAGATTCTGTGTCTCCGTCTCTCTCTGCCCCTCCCTTGCTCACGCTCTCTCTCAAAAATAATAAACAAACATTAAAAAATAAAAAACAAAGGGGAAGAGGAGGAGAAAGTGCAGGGAGGAAGGAAGAGAGAGGGGAGAGGAGAAAAGAAAGAAAAACACTTCTGGCAATTTTTCATCTTATCCATGATTGTAAAAAGGATTTACGTGACTAAAACTGGTCTTCAGGAACTCCAAAAATTTATCAAACTTGGTTTCATATGAACTCATATAAAAAATATTTTAAAAGTACTCAAGATCTGCTATATCATTTAATTTTACATACAACAGCATCAAAACCTAAAAATCAATTCTGTTGTATAAAAATCTGGAGTATTCAAGCTTAAACATAATCTACTGTCAGGGGGCACCTGGGTAGCTCAGTTGGTTAAGCCTCCGACTTCAGCTCAGGTCATGATCTCACAGTTCATGAGTTCAAGCCCTGCATCAGGCTCTGTGCTGACAGCTTAGAGCCTGGAGCTTGCTTGGCATTCTGGGTCTCCCTCTCTCTGCCCCTCCCCCCATCTACACTCTGTCCCTCTCTCTCAAAAATTAAAAAAAAATTTTTTTTAAACATAATCTACTGTCAAGTCTATATAACCACAATAAAAAATGTAAAAACATATATACTAATAAATTATTACTTCAAAGGTATGTTTTGTCATTTGAATCATCAGATACAAATATATTATTGGCATTTTAGTAATTAGTCTGTAACAAACTAATACAAACCTATGATCTTCAAGTTAAAAACATCCTGATAATTGACACCATTATGAATTTTATAGATTACATCCAGTCTAAAATCTCATATAAGTCATCAATAATTCAAAAACACTACTAAAAGACAATCTATTGATACCATTAATAAAGCATTTATTTTGCCTTGGGTTAAAAAAGCAAACAAAGCTACAGTTTAATTTTACAGACCTAACTATAAAACCTAAAACTAAAAACTTTTAGGAAAAACAGAACAAAATCTTTATGACCTTGCATAAGCTAACAAGTTTGAAAGTATGGCACAATTCATAGAAGAAAAAAATCAATAAACTAGACTCAATCAAAATGAAGAACTCCCCCTTTAAAAGATACCATTACAAGAATGAAAAGTTAGTCATAAATGGAAGAACGTATTTCCAAATCATAAAATTGATAAAGGACTTTTATTCAGAAAAAAAAGAATTCAAGGGGTGCCTGTGTAGCTCAGTTGGTTGAGCATCCAACTCTTGATTTTGGGCACTAGTCATGATCCCAGGGTCATGAGATTGAGTCCTGTGTTAGGCTCTGTGCTGAGCGTGGAGCCTGCTTAAGATTCTCTCTTTCCCTTTGCCCCTCTCCCACTTCTACACACTCACTCTCTCTCAAAACAAAACAAAACAAAACAAAACAAATGAAAGAATTCAGTAAGAAAACAAACAACCCTATTCAAAAGGTGTGTGAGGGGAGCAAAACATTTGAACAGACATTTCATCAAAGAAGATAAACAGATGGCAAAGAAGCAAATGAAAAGATAGTCTACATCATTAGACATTAGGGAAATGCAAACCAAAACCACACAAGAAACTATTGTACACCTATTACAATGGCTATAGTTTAAAAACAGTTTGGGGGGGTGGCGCCTGGGTGACTCAGTCAGTTCAGCATCTGACTTCGGCTCAGGTCATGGTCTCACGATTTGTGGGTTCGAGTCCCACATCCAGCTCTGTGCTGACAGCAGAGCCTGGAACCTGCTTCAGATTCTGTGTCTTCCTCTCTCTCTGCCGCTCCCCACTTGCACTCTCTCTCTCCCAAAAATAAACAAACATTAAAAAAAAATTTTTTTTAAAGACAAACTGACAATAGCAAATGCTAACAAGTATGCAGAGCAACTGGAAGTCTAACACACTGCTGGTCGAAGTATAAAATGATTTAGCCACTTTGGAAAACAATCTGACAGTTTCTTATGAAGTTAAACATTCACTTACTATACAACCCGACAATCCTAATCCCTAGGTGTTTACCCAAATGAACTGAAAACTGACACACACACAAGTCTGTGTGTGTGTACCTACAGCAATTTATTCATAATAACCCCAAAATGGAAATAATCCAAGGGATAAACAAACTATGGTACCTCCGAAGGATACAACGCTACTCAGTAATAAAATAATGAAACTTGAAGCAACATGGATAAATCTCAAATGCACTGGTGCCAAAAAAACGGACCCAAAAGGCTACATACCATATATTCCCATTTACATGACAAGCTAACAAAGTCAAAACTTTAGAGGGAAAAAAGAACGAAAAAAACACAGATCAAAGGGTTACCAGGGTCTAGGAGTGAAAGGGAAGGACTGATCACAAAGGGAGCATGAAGGAAATTCGAGGATGACAGTATTATTCCACATCTTGACTGAAGTTGTGGTGACATTACTGTGTACATCTGTCACAGAAATACATGCTAAAAAGGGTGAATTTTACTGTATGTAAATTATACCTTAATAAGAAGAAAAGAAAAAAGTACTTGGTGATTCAAAAACTGTATTAAAAAGATTATATTGATATGTTATTAAGGCATTTACCTTGATTTTTGTTAAGAAAAACTATAATTATTCAGTCATGTAACAAATGTTTATTCAGGGTAAACTCTGAACCAGTACCTGCTATTAAATTATGATTTTATTACTAAAATATTCGCTCTTGGGTGGGAGCGATTTGTTCTTTCTGGGCCTACAACCAACTTCAAGATGTATTTTTTAATGCATTGATGTTGGAGTATAGTAAGATTCCTAGATTTAACTAGACAGTCTTGCCTAACAGAGGTGTGTATAGATCAAAGTACAGTCCATGTTTACATTCGTACACTATGGAAGCTTTTCTTACAAAGTGCTATTATAGAAGTTATCCCATAAAACGCCATCCAAAATCCATTTTAGCTAAGTGTCCTTTAACACAACCATCTAGTTATAGCAGGAGAGCTAAATATATATATTCTATGAAGTATTTAGCAAGCTAAGGTGATACATGTCCAAACACATACATTTTTATAATAAAGAATTTATTTACTAACCAGCATCATTATTAACTTTGCAAATATATTTTGTAGAAAGTGAACCTTTTCCCCTTCCCCATCAAAACAGATTTTAAGTTGCAGTTTTAAAACACTAAAACACCAGCCAACTTTAAGTAACACTTAAGTAAGCCTGAATTTCTTAAAAAGTCCATTGTCTACTATGTGTTTACAGTGCTACTTTAAAAGACTTACAGAGACATTCAATATGTTAAATATTACCTATAAAATATATCTTAGAACTATTTTCATAGACTTTTCTATTTGTTAAAGACGTAATCTGTAACAATAATTCTAATGATAACTTCTCGAAAGTGTACAGAAGAGGGCTCCATACTAAATTCACAAATCTCTAGTAAGTGAAATTCAAGCAATAAAAAAATGTATATTTGTGTTACTCTACTGGAAAAATGTATGTCAACTTTACCCTGATTTCCTCAGTAAATTTTACTCTTGTGGTCACATGCCATCTTCTAGTTAGTCCATTACTCTTCAGATTTTATACACACACACACACACACAGAGAGAGAGAGAGAGAGAGAGAGAAATAGAGCACAAACAAACAGAAGTCATAAAGCCAGAGTTCCATGTAAAAGAGCCAGATGACTGGATGTGCCTGCCAAGGAACGCCATACTCACCTGTAGGGGAGTGGAAGAAACAACAGGGGGAGTTGGAGAAGTGAAGCCATCAGCAAGGGTCTGGGCACCCCCAGCAGCAGCGTCTGGGGCAGTGGAGGAAGGGACAGTAGCAGGAACAAGAGGGGCAGGGGCAGATGCAGAAGTAGCAGGAAGGGAAAATTGCAGCAGAGAGTAGCAGGACGAGGGAAAGAGAAGAGAGGTAGAGCAGCATTAAGAGCAAGAACCCATTAGGCAGGATTAGAAAAGGCATTAGAGAACCTAATGTTAGATATCCAGTGCTTAACACTAACCAAAGAATACAAGAGAGGTGTTAAAAAAAAAAAAAAGAAAGAAAAAAATTAAGCTTATACTAAAGTTATTAGCAAATAATTCAAAATGTTGGGGTAATTGTACAGATTTTTTAACTCATTAGAAACAAGCATTCCATTTTACCTAAAAGCCACTACTCTGGAAGAAAAGTGCTCCCTTTATATGAATTTTAGCATAATATTTTGTAAACAGCATACAAATCTAAACAGAATACACTAAAAAATAAGTATTCCATTTTGAATTACACAAATCAGAAAATAAACATATATTTCAGATATAAACACCCTATTTGGTAAAAAAAAAAAAAAAAAAAAGAATTTGAAAACACAAATCTTTTTTTATTTGATTTTTAAAAAAAGGTATTATTATCTTTCTTTTTCGTAAATTAATACAAAATACAATCTTCGAGCCTGGGTGGCTCAGTCGGTTAAGTGCCCGACTTCAGCTCAGGTCATGATCTCACGGTCCGTGAGTTCGAGCTCCTCATCGGGCTCTGTGCTGACAGCTCAGAGCCTGGAGCTTGTAACTTCAGATTCTCGCCCCTCCTCTCTGACCCCTCCCGTTCATGTTTATTCTCTATCTCTCTCTGTCTCAAAAATAAATAAACATTAAAAAAAAAATTTTTTTTAAATATTCTATCCTTATGTCTTCTGTGTCATACTTTTAAAATAAAGTTTAACTTTGGTGTCTTCACATTAAACAAGCATATTTTTCTGTTTCAGAAAAAAAAGGTAGTATTTCAGACAGTATTAAATTCCATAAGTCCACTAAACTTAAGTGCCAAAACTACTTTAAAATCTGCCACTGAATGTGATTCTCACACTAAGTACCCACTGTGTCCAAAGGCATGCAATGTCATAACACTGGCTGGAATATAACTCATACCCAGGTGGTACGTGAAACCTCAAAGCACCAACTGAGCCACAGCACCAAAGGCATGACAGAGAAGTATGTGAACATGAACTCAGAAATCACTTGGTCAAAAATAACAAGAGCAGAGGGATAAGTGGATGGCTCAGCCGGTTAAGTGTCCAACTCCTGATTTCAGCTTAGGTCATGATCTCACTATTCATGAGATCTGCACTGAGCACAGAGCCTGCTTGGGATTCTCTCTCTCCTTATCTCTCTTTGCCCCTCCCCTGCTCGCTTGTGCACATGTACACATGCTTTCTCTCTCTCCCTCAAAATAAACATATAAAAAATGCATAAAGATTTCCCAACATTATTAGAGTCCTAAAGAAAACAAAATCCTGATTATGAAAAAAGCCCACTATAGTTAAATCATACATTGAATTCAAATTGAAAAAAGACAAGTAAAGATGAAGTACCATTTGTGTTTTACCTGGAAAGACACTGGGAGGAGAGGGAGTCGGGACAGCAATAGGAACCCCCACGCTCCCACTGCCACTGTTCTCCCGACTGCTGCTCCGACTACTCGGGTGGCTCCCTCCACTACTCCCGCTGCTGCTGAAGAAGTAAGAGCCACCAAAGCCATGAGTATTTATATATAGGAAGATACTGCCAGCATTTCCCAAAATTTGCTGAAATGAACATATAGCTAAATAAAGATCATTCAAAAATCTTCCACTTCAAGTATTAATTTCTTAAAACAGGAAAAATACTAAGTTCAAGAAACTTGCTTTGACCAACTTTTAATAAGCATCTATTAAAGAAACTGAAAAAGAAGGAAAAATATATAAGTGGTAAGTGATAGGGTTCAACATATAAAAATACTATTACTTTCCTTTATTGTCTGAAGAAACTTGTTTTATAATAAAAACAGTTTCCCTAAACAGGTTATTTGATTAATAATTAAAAACTAATTTTATTTGTAATAATATCCTGATATACCATTCCATATTAATGTTTATTGCATATAGTTTTTCATCTGTAAAGTTCCACCAAAAAACAACTTGCAATTTCCCACATCTGATCCATAACTTTTTTTCCCATATCTGGTCCACAACTTTTTCCAGGTCAACTAAACTATTAATTTTGTAGAGAAGTGTGTATTTTAAGATGTCTGTTTTTTCTGTTTTTCAACTTCCTGACCTCAAAGCTTCATCAGAACATGAGAAGAGAGAAGTAGAATCAGATGAGGTTTGGGGGAGTAGAGTGAGGAAAAGAACTTAGTGCTTGGAAAATGAGAGAGATTTAACTGAAGTAATCTGAACAAATTATGGTACTATGACCATCACATTTTGCACTGAGGTAGAGAAAATACCTGTAAGTTCGATTTCTTTGATTCACAGAAGCTGTCCTCACAGGGCTCTGCTGCGAGGGAGCCATATTACGGGTTGGGCTAGGTACGTAATCATTTGGTACCACTGGAGGACGCACTGGCTCCAGTGTGCGATAGGGGGAGTGCCGCCTACAAAAAGAAGAGCGTATGTATTGTGTGATTAGCAAGTTTCGGCACAATAAATTCAAAGAGTTGCCAGTAGTGAAATACAATTTGTATTCAGAGACAGGAAAATGTTTTCACATAACCCAGCTACCAATTTCAGTCTTTCCTTAAGTATCACTTCTTTGTCATTAGGGTTTCAATGAGTATTGCTATTGTTTAGTCTCCAACCTCATTTCCCTGTACTAATGCAATTTTGTTCATTCATTCTCAGAGAGCACAAAGATTCTCCCACCAAGTAAGCCAGTGTTTCCCAGACTTTTTTTTTTAATGAGTTCGAATTATTTTAGTACCATGCCAAAGTTTCCCAACTGTACTGCATGAATGCACTAATTATCTTCCTCACCCCTCTCTCCCTAACCAAAGATATTCAAAGATAGGGTAAATAAATCTATAATTTGGCTCCACAACCCCCCACAGTGATCATCAATAGCAACTCTAACAAGTCATTTCCCTTTCTATATAGTAAATACATAGAACTTGCACTACACATCCACACAAAGAAATACACAAGTTAATCTCCTCTCCTTCCATTCTCCCCTCACTTCCTTTCTCACCTCACTCAACTTTTACCTTGATCTCTTTTACCTCTTACCTTCCTCAGTGTTCAACATTTAAAAGGGAGAGAAAAAAAAAAAAAGACCACCTAAGTCTTTCTACTTATTTTGCTTTGGACTGTAAAGTACAAAACAGACTGGATTTTATTAATATATTTCCTTCTTCTCAAAATCTCCTTTAAAAGGAAGAGAATGAGAAAAGTAAGAGGAGGAGCCCCTGGGTGGCTCAACTGGCTAAGCATCTGACTTCAGCTCAGGTCATGATCTCAAGGCTTATGAGTTAGAGCCTCGCACTGGGTTCTCTGCTGTCAGCACGGAGGCTGCTTCAGTTTGGGTCCTGTCTCCCTCTCTCTCTGCCCCTCCCCAGCTTGTGCTTTCTGTCTCAGAAATAAATAAAAACATCAAAAATAAATTTAAAAAAAAGAGGAAATATGACAGGAAATAGGATGCACAATGGCATATTAATGATTATTCAATTAGTTCTCATCTCTAAGTTTCTAAATTCTTTATGACAATGATAAATACTCAACTGACATGAAAGTGACATTCTGCAGATACAATTCTGGTTTCTAAAGAATAAAAATTGGGATCTCAAGATGTGAAAATTAAAAAGCTATCTTTTCCTGAAATGATGTTACTCCCTTACAAATTTCTCAATAATTCACTCCTCCCAGAGTCCCAAGGTTCCTTTAAATTACAGTTTTCCTGGGCTACTCAATAGCCCAGATAGATTTTCAGTGAGATCACTTTGTAGTGACCCTGTCCACTCTACTACCCTCAAAATCTTGCATAAACACATATGTACATTAATAATTAAAAATAAGCAGTAGTGCCTGGGTGGCTCAGTCGGTTGAGCATCTGACTCTTGATTTCAGCTCAGGTCATGATCCCAGGGTGGTAGGATGGAGCCCCACATCAGGCTCTGCACTGAGTGTGGAGGCTGGAGATTCTCTCTCCCTCCCTCTCTCTCTCTCTCTGCCCCTCTCCCCTACCTGCTCTCTTCTCTCTCTAAAAAATAAAAAAATAAGTAAAAATAAGTAAAGGGCACTAGATGATATAGTACGTCCAAGGAAGGAAAAGGAATATCAGGAACGTGGATTTAAAATACTACAAAGTAGGGTGCCTATGTGGCTCAGTAGGTTAAGCGTCGGACTTCCACTCAGGTCATCATCTCATGGTTTGTGAGTTCGAGCCCCGCATCATGCTCTACATTGACAGCTCAGAGCCTGCTTCGGATTCTGGGTGTCTCTCTCTCTCTCTCTCTCTCTCTCTCTCTCTCGCTCTCTTTCTGCCCTGCCCCCACTCTTTCTCTCTCTCAAAAATAAACATTTGAAAAAATAAATAAAATGCGAAAAAGTTTAGGAGTGCCTGGGTGGCTCAGTCAATTGAGCATCAGACTCTTGATTTTGGTTCAGATCATGATCCCAGCATTGTGGGATTGAGCCCTGGGTTGGGCTCTGTGCTGAGGTGATGCCTGCTGAGGATCCCTCTCTCCCCCTGCCTCTCTCCCCCATTCGTGCTCTCTCTCTTTAAAATTAAAAAAAAAAATACTAAAAAGGTTAGGCATCTGAAATTATAATGTAAATATTAAAAAAAATAAGATACGGATTCATTTCCAAACATCTCATTTCCAGACAATAAAAATGTTCCGTTTCATGCAGACAAAAACCCTTGCTGACTGAGAACAATACAGTGAAGGCAATGATAAATACAAAGTAAAAAATAAGGGCCAAAGGAACAAAATACGATGGCTAGACAAAGATTATGCAAAAACGCCACACTGTGACCATCAACTGGTTTGTAGTGCTCAGCAACTCTGGTCTCCAAAGATCCTGCAGAGCCCTTGCTAATACACAAGGGAAACAAATACTGGTATATGAATACATCTTCAAAATTTGAGAGCAACAGAAAGTTTTCTTTTACTAAGAGGACAGTGGGTTACCTTGCTAACAATCTTGACTTAAAACCTAACAAAATCTGTTAGGTACTACATATAATAGAAATATAGACATTCCACAGGAAAACAAATACTTCCTCTTGATCTCTCTACTCTTACATCTGCACCACTACAGCCTACCATGTCATCAACATACTACACTGAATGGGAATGCTAGCTGGTGTAGCCACTCTGGAAAACAGTATGGAGGTTCCTCAAAAAACTAAAAACAGAACTACCCTACGACCCAGAAATTGCACCACTAGACATTTATCCAAGGGATACAGGTGTGCTGTTTTGAAGGGACACATGCACCCCCCATGTTTATAGCAGCACTATCAACAATAGCCAAAGTATGGAAAGAATGGATGAATGGATAAAGAAGATGTGGTATATATATACAATGGAGTATGACTCGGCTATCAAAAAGAATGAAATCTTGACATTTGCAACTATGTGGACGGAACTAGAAGGTATTATGCTAAGTGAAATTAGTCAGATAAAGACAAAAATCATATGACTTCACTCATATGAGGACTTTAAGAGACAAAACAGATGAACATAAGGAAAGGGAAACAAAAATAATATAAAAACAGGGAGGGGAACAAAACAGAAGAGACTCATAAACATGAGAACTGAGGGTTACTGGAAGGGTTCTGGGAGGGAGGATGGGCTAAATGGGTAAGGGCACTAAGGAATCTACTCCTGAAATCATTGTTGCACTATATGCTAACTAATTTGGATGTAAATTTTAAAAAATAGAAAAATTAAATAAATAGATAAATAAATAAAAACATACTACACTGAAGTTTAAATCTTATTTGATCTACTAGATGCTTTCCTCTCTAATCTAAGCAGAATTTGTTTTGCTGATCCCAAATAAAAGCATCCTATTCCTGGCCGGAATTAATTTTTATCCTTTTATTTCCCATTGTCCTAACTATAATTCCTCTACCAACATTATCTTCTTTTATATTCTAATTCATCTTGTCCTGTCCTAATTAGTTTTTTTGTCATTTTCTTTTTTCCCTTTTCTTTTCTCTCTTTTCAGTTTTTTTGGTTATGGTTTTTTTTGTTTGGTTGGTTTTTTTGTTGTTTTTTTTTTTTTTTTTTTTGGTGAGGGGGCCAAAAACAAGATTGTCAATTTAAAAAATTTTAAGCATGTATCATCAAGCCAATGGGTATCAAAGCATTTTGTCTTTGTCTTACACATTTTTTGAAAAATCCAATTTGTGGTACAATGACTCTGAAAAGTTGATAGAGAACAAATATAACCCCCTTTTACAGATGAAAAAACTGAATTGCTAAGAGGTTGACTATGCAAAACCACAGAGCAGGAGCACAGCTGGACCACCATTTTAGTCATCTGACTTTTGGGATATATTATGTCCACCTGATCACAAATCTCCATGATAAACCAAATGTTTATACTATGATGCTACAGAAGAAAAATGTTAAGCTTTTACATTAAATGGCCATTTCTGCCAAAAGTCAAATCCAGAGCTCACTTCTGTGAGATAGAATTAAAGCTCAGTATTCTCATAACCACACAAGACATACAGAATTTTGTAATTTACAGTGTTCTCCAGAAGAATAGTCTAAAATAAGCACAATCAGAATACTCTAAAACATTTCTGAAATTAGAGTACAATTTATAATAAACCATGAACTTGGGCTAGGATTTTACCTCAAATTTAAAATTCAACAGAAAAATAACTTTCAAACAAAATCTTTTTAAAATTATAAAGATGTTTCCCAGAAAAAAGGATAACCTTGGGAAGAAAATGTTCTTGTTTCAAATATTAAAAAATAGTTTAAACATATGTAGTGTTTAGTTTTCAACAACACTACATGAAGTGGTTTTCAATTATTACATACTTACCCAAGTGTCCCTTTCCCTGACATAGGGGGACTGGGGGGTTTCTGAGTTGGAGGTGTTGTACGCGGCAGCCCACCCATCTTCATATTCTGGGTACTCACCTAAAAAAATTTGGAGGAAAAATCAACTCGTATGCAGTGAAACAAAATGTCACTTTTTGGGAAATAATGTTATGCTATTTAACAAAGGAGGGGAAGGTTTAAATAGGAAAAAAAAAATTAGAGGCCATGCATTTCATATGCAATTTCTACTCTACTATTATTCTACAGTTGTACTCAAAGGACTCTTCCTAACATGAGATTTTCAAATGATTGTAAACTTGTATGCAAAGACTGTATTTGCCATTAGGCCATCACACCAACAGATCACTGGTTAGACTATTTGATACTATATTTAATTGAAATTAAATAGGATAACCATAAGAACTTTAGTTTTAACAAAGAAAAACTTGGTCAAAAACAATAATGCCTTTAAACAATTCCTTGTTTTTTAGATAGCAAGTATATCATAAAAAATACATGTTTCCCAATAAAATATGCAGTATAGTTTTGATCCATTGTAACTAGAGAATACAAAGTCAAATTGTAGGATATACCAAAAAATTTTCAGTTTTTAAAATAGTGGATCAGCCTTACAATTCATATTTCTTTAACGTTCTTTTATGAAGGAATCACCTACCTGAAAGCTGCCAGAAGTTAAGTCATGTTCCTAAACATCTGAACTAGAAAGTTAGGGCTGAGATATCCCATTCAATTATGAGCAATACAGAGGCCAAAGGCAATGTACTAGTTCCAATGGGAATTAGACCCACTCAGGCCGAAAATAAAGATTATGGGAAAGATGTAACATCGTCCTAAATCAGAGCTGGGCCATCACTCCTCACTATTCCATCTCTCTCTAATTGAAAATATGAGAGAAAGAGAGTAGCATAATCTGGAAACAAATGATGCCACCAAAGAAGTATATCAGCATTCATATAGAAAGCCCTAGAAATCTGGATATCTTAAAGAGGTGAGAGAAGTCATTCACAAATATAGTTCAAATGCAATCTCAAATTGTCTGAGATTACTAATGGGTTAGAGTAAATATGTTCAACATATAGGTTCATACCTGACCCTATTTTAAGCCCCAATATTGTGGATTACCAAACACTTCAAAAAAAGATATTAACTTTTCTAATAAGATTATGTCTGGAGTATTCAATTTTATTTATAAAATGAAACTGCAAGACATTACACCACTGAAATCAGAATGTATTTATAACTATAATTTCAAAATATAAATTTTAAGAAAAGAAATCATAACCAAATACAGAGTACTGAGGCTGCCAAAATTACTCTGGCTTAAATGAAATTTTTAAAAATCCTGAAATACTACTTGTTACCTGAATAGGCAAGAAATAATATATCATGAAACAAACTCTGCAAATGAATAAGCCCAGTGAACAAGTTGTGTGTGATGTTAAAACAATCTTTAATGACAAATGATACCTTTGAGATGTCAATATTTTTTCAAGTGAAACGTTTATCTGGAATCCTTTGGTGTTACTTTTAATAAATACAAAACAAACCAGTTATCAAGTAAGACAGATTAACTTATCCTTGTTCCCCCCTCATTAATAAGCAGAGGGTATACTAATCATATCTTAAAATGAAAATGCCAGAAGTTTTTAAAACATCAATCCACATTTAGGTAAAATTTCAAGAGTAATAGGACAAATAACCAGTAGCTTTTCAAACTGTAAATCTTAATTTATGATATCAGATTTTTTATAGTAATAACCAAAGTCCTTTAAGCTCAACCTTAAACAACATAAAACCCAAAGTTACTTTAAGTGATGAGGGAGAAGTAGGTGAGCCAACACTAAACTACATCAATTTGCTAGAAACGGGAAGGAAAAGGAGCAGCAGTAGAAAAAGTAAAAGAGAATTTTATTCTATATATGGAATAGCTAAAATACTTGAAAACAGCTTTTCAACTTTGATTCAAGGTTTTGGCATGTAAAGTGTTTTTATTTAAATTGCAGTATCTTCTAGAAGTCTTTTAATCTATAAAAATGTATAAAATAAACAACCTATATATTAAAATCCAATGGACACTTCCATAAACAAAACTTGATACATTTTATGATCTGTAGAATCATCAAATGATTGTATCTGCTTGGTTAATGGGGTTTGGATAAGTAACTTAAATCATGTAAGAAACCAGAGTCCCTGTAGAATGTCCAAAAAATCTGTAATTTTATACTTTATTGATACTGTACCTTTATATGAAGCTAAAAGAGTTTTTCAATACTTCTTCAAGGTGGTTTTCCTTTGTGAAAAAGGCTAAGTAAAACGATGAATATGCTATGCAGAGTATAAATACTGCCATCTAATTTGAGGAAAAAAGCAAGAATAGGAATAACTGCCAAACAAAACTTAATGTGTCGGGGCGCCTGTGTGGCTCAGTCAGTTAAGCATCTGACCGGCTCAGGTCATGATCTCACGGTTTGTGAGTTCAAGCCCCATGTCAGGCTCTGTGCTAACAGCTCAGAGCCTGGAGCCTGCTTCAGATTCTATGTCTCCTCCTCTCTCTGCCCCTCCCATCCTCATGCTCTGTCTCTCAATAATAAAGAAATGTTAAAAAAAAAACAAATAAAAATTTAACACGTTTATCACAGGCAGGATCTGTATTATAATTAAAGAAAGTTTATTTCAAATATAAAATAATTTGATTAAAAAAATTCACTTGATAGCCATCATGATTCTAAACACTATTTTGAGGGAAGTTTATGGGGGAGACATCACTTCCTCACAAGCAGCAAAACACAGGACTAAATTTTGTGTGTGGAGAAGTGGACAGCTGGGGGGGTGGGAGGGAGAGAAAGAGAGACAGGAGAACGAGAATGCACCATAAACTCAGGACAAAGAAAACAAAGCAGAGCTACACTTACTTCATTACAGCAATTCCACATGAAACTTTAAAACAAACTATAAACATAAGCAGAACTATCATCTGGTTCATAAACATGCAGTTAATGGTCCTGAATCATGAGTGTGCGTGTTCATTATACTTCAAAGTCTTTTTTGGAAATCAGAATGAAGCTTTTAACCATCGAATTATGTGGGCATTTTTTAATTCTATAAAGGGGAAAGTCATCATTGAGAGCTAAGTAAAGCAGGTATTAGGTATAAGAAGGAAACAGTAGGAAACATTCTCCCCCTTTTTTTCCCACCAAAAAGAAATCCTCAAAACAGAAGAATTATTTCATTTAAGTGACAATGCTCAAATACTTTGCCATTGGCCTGTGACTAAGGAATGTAGGTAATACTGGAGGTAGAAAAGTTCTTTTATGTTCAAAGAGTGGTCCTATCTCCCAGGCTTTGGAGATCTCTACAACTAGCACCAAGCATCAAGCTCATTCTTATGGCCTTAATATTTTTTCTACAGTGCTCCTACTCTCCTGCTCTATGTTTTTTTGGTACATTCAATAACTCCTTGAACCTTGATATATCAAAATACAATGTTTATTACAAATCTCAGTGTTTTTTCAGAACCCTGTGAACTTCAGTATTTTTTATAAAGCTGGCTGGCCAGATATCTCTAGTTCACAAAGGACACTTCTGCTATGAAGAAATCTCCCACTGACAGATGACCTGCTGTGACAGAATAGTACCAGACACATTCTAAAATGGTTATCTCATTTATCAACCACTTTTCATCTACCAGACTAGTAGGCAATGGAATATGAAAAAATTTTCTTTTTTAATTTTTAACATTTATTTGTCATTAAGAGAAAAGAGCATGAGCATGGGAGGGGCAGAGAGAGGGGGAGACACAGAATCCGAAGCAGGCTCCAGGCTCCGAGCTGTCAGCACAGAGCCCAACACAGGGCTCGAACCCACAAACCACAAGATCATGGCCTGAGCCGAAGTGGGATGCTTAACTGACTGAGCCACCCAGGCACGCCAAGGAATATGAAAATTAAGGGAGACATGGCAGGGGGTCAGAATGAGACACAAAGGCCTATAAAATGATTTCTCTGCTTTTAAGGAACTTAGAATATTTTAGAATAAGACTATGTTTTAAACAAAAAGGAATGTCTACAAATTATATAGAAATCTCCAAAAAAAGAAATATCAGTATTAATAAACATTTTTAAAAAGCAGGATTTAAATATACAAGGAGGAGTAGTATGTATAGTTCAAGGTAAATTACACTTTTATATGGCCTCAGGTACATACTAAAACACTTCCAATATGGCATTCCACCATTTAGTTTTTTATGCCTTTTGTTGTACAAATATCACGACATTGTTTTCAAAAGTCTTATGAACTAAACTCTACAACTTGTTCTCCCCACTCAACTAAAGAAAAAAACCTAAATTAATCACTATCAGAACACGCTGTACAAAATGTTAAAAATTCAACTTTTAGTACAGAGGATTCTTCTGAGTCAAATCCCATGTGTTTGGTCCCAAAGTGTTATCTTTGTTTAGAGTCTGAAAAGCATCAAAAGTCTAACAGCAACAAGAGCAAAGACAGAACTCATGAACAGCTGAGGAAATCAAAGTAGCAGATAATCCTACCAACAAACATCAGGAGACTTCTAGGGCACTTGATATAACCCACAGGTCTCCAAGCTCAGCTGGAAAACCACTTAACTGGTTTATTATCTGCAGTCCTTTCCAACTTTAACATTTTTAAATTCTATTTTCTACCTTAATGTATTATATTATTCCATTCATCACCCTTTGAAAACCAATCATTTTTATACCAGCACTAAAAGAGAAATAATTTATTATATGCTGAATACTTTTTTCACTCTACTTTGTTTTGGTTCACCAAAAATTATTAACAATGTGCTTAAAAAAAAGAGGGGAGGGGGACAGGAAGGAAGAAAAGACAGAACGTTGGTGCCTTGTAGCTTCTAGGATGAATGCAGGTACTCTTCTCGCTCAGTAAACTGCACCCAGATATAACAGCAACACCTATATAGAGCCACAGTACCCAAAGAGTGAAGGTTTTTTGGTACAAAGAGCAAAGATGTTAAGGAATCTTATCCAAGTGTGATATTTCCTTGCTTTCTAGGAGCTTCTCTCATTTCCCACTCATTTTGGTCTATCTCTCACATGAACAGATACTGAACCCAGGAAGGTCAAGAAGGAATCTGGAGGAAATGAGCATGGGATAGCAGCTTAGGCAAGCTGGTCTAAACTTACGAGGAAAAGAATTAGTCCACTTCTGTGTTTCATTCAGGTAATCTTTCTGTTCTCTTCAATCACTTTAAAACATCAACAGCCAAAATCTGCATATAGTATTTACAGGAAAAGAGCCAAGCAACTACACGCTGCTTTGGGTGTAGTTCTTTGTTATGCAAAAGCAATCTCCTCACAATTCCACATGCCTTCACTCAGCAAGACTGAGGGCTTGGAGCCAACATCATCTATTCAATAACACAAGAAGTACTATTTGCCTCAACTCCTCTAGTCACATCTCTCTATCAGATCTGTTGAAATGTCAGTGGCCGTGGTTAATAGTTAATGATTCAGATCTCAGTTATCTTCCTGTCATCACTTTCTATACTGAAGACATGGCAAATAACAGGGTTTAGAAAGAAAATGTATTTGAAAATAAATTACAAGGGTCAGTTAAGAAAATAAGAACAAAAAGGAAATGCATGCTTAGTTTGGTGAATACGATTTTAGTAACTGTATTTAAAAGAGACTTCTTGAATATACTTGAATGTCTTTTACCATTAATTCTCCAAAATACTAAAACTGTAAAAAAAAAAGAAAAAAACACCTAAACTGTTACTGAAACACATAACAAAATATTTCTCTAATTTTTAACCTGTTGTTAAACATTATCATGAACTTTTGATGTTTTGATATAATTAATATTCAGCTAGAAAAACTCTTAAAATGAGTTTATATTGAAATATTGGAAAAAAAGAAACTAATCTTGATTTTAGCAAAATACATGATACTGCAACTTAAAAAAAAACCCATAACACTGAATATTTTCCACTTCTCACTTTCTTTACATTGACTAAGAGTCAAGAGATAATGACACACTGGCCATAAGTGTATAATAAAGCACACCATTTATAGAATAAAAAGGCTATTACACAGGGGGAGGGTTAAATGAAGCACATTAGTTGGCCCTCCAATCCATAACATAAATTCTACATTTACAAAAATCCAGCTAATTTTACTCCATAATGACATTTTATGATACGATAACTTACATTTTATTTTCACAAAACATATTAACATTGCAAAATAAGCATTTATTCAAAAATATTTACTAAGCCACTAGTGTGTGTGTCAGGCACTGTTCTAGGAGCACAGGACAAGGTGGTGAACAACACAAAAAAATCTGCCCTCACAGAACATGAAGACACACCACAAAGTTGCATGACAAAAAGTTTTAAATATTAAAAAGAGGAATTATTTGTTGATTTTAGAAGGCCAAGTGCCGAGTATCTCTTCACTCCCCATATGTAATATTCTACATAAGAACAAAGAATGGAAATCCAGCCCTGGAATCTCTTACCTTAAATCTAAGCAACCACTTAATGCATAAATGGAGCAAATAAAAGAGGTAAGGAAAAAAAGCATTGAAAGGTTAGTTGGAACTTCAGGATGTGAAGAGAAAGGAAAAAAACAAAGAAAAAACAAGTTAAGCATTCAGCATTAAAAAATAATGTTTCAGTAGATCATAGAAAGAGTGGTCAAAGCAGAATGTGTCATGAACAGGAAGGTTTTTTGATGAAATTATATGACATTGCTTTATTCAAAAAACATTATTAAAGATTTCTTCACATTAGTGTCGCCTAAACACTAAAAGTCCAAATAAGAAGGACTACAGAGTCCCAAAAGAGTAATATTTTACTTGAATTAAGTAAGAATTGGAGTGGGAAGGAAATCATGTTTTTATTATGTAAATGGGCAAGCACAAATATTATGCTTTATTCTAAGTGCCTTTTGGAAGTAGATTCCAACAGTATCCTAAAATTTTCTATTTGCAGTTATTAGCCTTGAAAAAAAATCTCAAAATTATAAAATTTTAAGTATTTTATAAAATTAAATATCAAATTCCAGATAATAATGCTTATATTAAAATTCTAAGAAAAATATTTTTTTAATTATACTGTATGTTTTCTTTTACCAAGATATACATTAAATTTAGACTTAACTGATTTCTAGTCATACTAGTATAGTGTATTTTTTTAATTTACATTTGCTTATATATAAAGACATAAATCAACTGCATAAACTATACAGTTTCACTTATAAGTATATTGTATATATTTATCCAAAGTCACATTTAATAAGTCACTGACTTTCAAATCAATGATTAAGATGTAAACTTTAAGCTACTTAATACTTAGCTGATGCTCCAAACAGTTTAAGTATAAATACCAATTTCATTGAAATTTATATGCCCTTCAGTTTTGATCATGGTATTTTATATATACAGCAGGCACTCTAATACATTTTAAAAGATAGCCAAAACACATAATGGCTACATATTCAAAATGGGTAGAAATATTAATTCATATATTACTTTTGTCTACACTATTCTCACCCAAATGTTAAGACAGAATTATTTTAGAAAAATTCAAAGTACATGTTTGTTTACATATGTTCTTTCTGAAAACTAATGCCAGAAGCTTGCTGATAAATTCTTGAGGTAAGGTAAATACTTTAATAACATGCTAAGTAATCTTTTAATCAGTCATATTAAGTCATTAAAAGACTACAGAAATTATACCACACTTATTTGCCCAATCTACATGAGGTATTATCATAACTGTTTAAATAAATGCATTTCATTTACAGATGACTGCTTAAAACGTGACAACATAGCACTAAGAAGAAGCAAGAAGGATAAAATAGTTATAGTAGTAAGGAATCTTCAGAACCACAACTGGGCCAAAACTTGGGCTTCCAAAAAAGATAAAAGCTTCATTTTCTAAAGCGTTTCATTATGGACTGCTATTTTTAAAAGGCTGACAAAAATTATACTTACCTTTACTCCATGTCCAATATCATCTAGAATTGTATAGTCAATAGGTTTTCTAATATAACGAACTGGTCGTTCAAGATTGGCTGGAGCAATAATCTTATGTGTCCTTGAAGTGTTTTTATTGGTAGTCAAAATACCAATCTCTCTTCTTGCAACTTTCTCTTTATGAATATCAACGGTCTGAAAAATATAATGTAAGTGCAACACGAGAATGTATAGTTCTAATAACCGGAAAAGTCAAAATATAGGTGCTCAGTGACTTAACATCATTATTTATATTCTTAACCCCAATGGCTAAATTTTCTCCTTTTTGGACCTACTGGCTTTCTCCATTTCTAGGCTAAAGCAAGGGCTGGCAAATCATGGCTGGCAGACCAAATCTGGCCCACTAAGTTTTTTACCACCTGAAGTTTTTTGTTTTTACAACCCAGGAGTGGTATTTACATGTTTTAATGGTTTTAAAAAGTCTAAAGAAAATTAGTGCCATGACATGTGAAAATTATACAGAATTCAAATTTCAGTTTCTATACATAAAATTTTATTGGACCACTGCCATTCTACTCACTTACATATTTTCATATTACAAGGGCAAAGATGAATGTTGTAACAAAGACTGTATGGCCTGCAAAGCCTAAAATATTTATTAGCTGGGCCTTTACAGAAAAAGTTTGCCAATCCTTGGGTTAAAGCATGCTAATTTTTTCCCAAACCCCATTTATATTTATACTAATACAATGATCAAGAAAACCCCAGTGGTTAAGTTGGTTACATTTTAAAATAACCTATTAGTGTAATTTCCATTGGTGTTTAAATGCCTTTTTTATTTAAAAAAAAAAAAAAAAAAAAAAAAAAAAAAAAGAGCCTGGGTGGCTCAGTAGGTTGAGCGTCCAACTTCGGCTCAAGTCATGATCTTGCAGTTCGTGAGTTCGAGCCCCACATCAGGCTCTGTGATGACAGCTCAGAACGTGGAGTCTGCTTCAGAATCTGTGACTCCCTCTCTCTCTGCCCCTCCCCTGCTCATGCTGTGTCTTCTCTCAATAAATAAATAAACGTTTAAAAAAAAAAAAAAGGGCCTAAAATATAAATACAATCTTAACATTTTTTTACAAAAAAATTTGTTTTTTATGACACAATACTCATAAAATATTTCATTAATTTATTGGGTTTATTAAATGTTCACATAGGATGTGTTTTTTTACTTTTCCATTTGCTAATAGAGGGTGAATTTCTGTACACAGATAATACTATGTTTCTTATTAATTTAATGAATACTATTAAACAGCATTTTCAAACAGCAGGCTGTAATTTAGTGGCATATGAAGAGCAATTATTTTATATTTTTTAATTTTTTAAAGTGTTTTTATTTATGTTAAAAGAGAGAGAGAGAGAGCTGGGGAGGAGCAGAGAGGGAGGGAGAGAGAGAGAATCCCAAGCAGGCTCCACACTCCCAGCACAGAGCCTGATGCAGGGCTCAAACCCACAAACCACAAGATCATGACCTAAATGGAAATCAAGAGTTTGTGCTGTCAGTGCAGAGCCTGCTTGGGATTCTTTCTCCCTCTCTCTCTGCCCCTCACCCACTCCCACTGTCTCTGTCTCTCTCAAAATAAATACACAAACTTCAAAAATAAAAAACACTTTCAAAACGTTTTTCAAAAACAAAAAATAAAATATCTGTAATAATACAGAAAAGATAACCATATGACAGTATTAAATATCACTTTATGAAATATGAAAGCTGATTATCTATCCTCTTAAACTACCTACAGTATGAAGGAAACTTGAAACAAATTCAAAGCCTCTTATTTCAATGAAAAGACTTAAAAACAATTTTTTTAAATGTCTGTTTATTTTTGAGAGAGACAGAGAGACAGAGCGCAAGCAGGGGAAGGGCAGAGAGAGAGAAAGACATAGATCTGAAGCAGGCTCCAGGCTCTGAGCTGTCAGCACAGAGCCTGACGTGGGGCTCAAATGCACAAACTATGAAATCATAACCTGAACTGAAGTCACCAACCATAACCAACTGAGCCACCCAGGTGCCCCTCAGCCAAAAGACTAAAAGCCAACAGGATCTGTAAGCTTCACAACTAGTATCTAAATAAAGTATCAAATCAAAAACTGGCCAAGGTAGTAACTTTATCATTTAAGTATTTCTTTTTAAAACAAAAATAATCTTTGAGCTTCTTCTGAGCATGTTAAGTAAAAATGACAAAATCTGCTTTCCTTTTCAACTACTTGGTAGAGCTGTAACAGAAAAAAAGAAATTTGTATGTTAGTGACAATGTTGGTATTTACTTATTTTTAACTTCAGAGAAATAAAAATCTCATTTTGAATAATTTTTAATGAGTCACATTCTAAATCATTAAAAATATGGGCTAAGAAGATTTCATATATATTAAGTACACTTCAAAATAAACAAAAACCAAAGAAAATAGGCATATTTTTGTACCTATTTTTTATATAACTGGTCTTAAACACATCAATAAAGGAAAATTTATCAGAGAATGTTATTTTCTTGAGACATTGTTTCCACCCCACTTTTTATTTTTTTAAGTTTATTTGTTTTGGGGGGGGGGGGGGCACCAGCACAGAGCCCAATGCCAGACTGAAACTCACAAACTGTGAGATCATGACCTGAGCCGAAATCAAGAGTCAGATGCTTAACCAACTGAGCCCCTCCATGTTGTTTTTAGAAACATAATTACCCTATTCAAAAATGAAGCCATAAGAATGCAAACCCAAGCAACCACAGAATTCTAAGCTTACTGCAAACTGAAACTTCAATTTCAAATTTTCATGCTGGAAATATGAATAAATCTCTACAAAATAAAAATGGGGAAGCAACTTTCCATATCTGCACTAATATATAGTTACATTTTATAGTAAGCACATTTTTTTAATTGTTTGAAAAAATTGAGGCTTTTTTTTTTTAAAAAAAGCACTCAAAACATTTGATCATACCTGGTGACTGGGGCATTTACATATTACCTCTATGTTCTCTTTATATACACACAAACACACAGCCCAAACCCACAAACCTTTATGCTAAGGATAAAACAAAAACCAGTATAGCAAAGAAAAAGATCTCAGACCTATGAGCCTAAATAAGGGCTAGTTGCTATAAAAGGACATAAAATTGGGCTCTTACATCTTCCTAGGAGAGAAGGCAAAGTACAATGAATTACAAGGTAATATATCCCTTCATGAGGAAGGGACAATTTTCCCAGGACTAAACTCTAAAAGGATTTGGTTGAAGGAATTCTGAAGAGAAAAATGTTGCTTTTTGTATTAATTACCAGTAAAAACTGAATGCATGCTCTAAAACATAATTCTTAACAGGATATATACATGGGAAATCAAAAGAATTTAGTTTCACTATATAATATTCTAGTTGTCTATTTTAAAAGAATACCTACATCTGGGAAAAACTAGAGCAGGGCTTCTCAACAGAGACACTATTGAGATTTGGGGCCAGATTCTTTGTTGTGGGAAGCTGTCCTGAGTATTGTACAATGTGAAGAAGCATCCCAGAAGATACCAAGAGCACCCCAAGTTGTGACAACCAAAAATGTCTGCAGTGCCAAATGTCTCTGCAGGGGTAAAACTACCCGGATTGAGAACCAATGATCTAGAGGAGAGACTAATTCACTTATCCTTACATTATGCACTCTCAAATATCAATTGTTTCCAGACTTGTTACAAGAGTTGACTTAAGATTAATGTCTCTAGCGACTGGATAAGTATAGATATTTGGTGTCTTTAACTTTTTAAAAACATATACAGTAATAAAAGTAATATATGGTTAAGAAAATCAAAGAGCATAAGTTGTATTCTTCCCATCCTACTACCACACTAGGTTGAACTGTAGGAGTTCTTGTGAATCAAATATATCTTCAGAAAATAGATAGCTATGATTTTATTTAGAATCTGAATAATAACAGAGAACAATAAATCTACTCCATAAGGAAGGAGAAGAAAGTTTGGTCTATAACATTCTGAAATTTTCAGCAATCACCTACTTCAAATTTTTCAAAGGTTTCTCTTGGGGAAAATCACATTCAAATTAGATGGAGTAACAGAATGAACACTCCTCTATATACCTAAAATCCAGCTTCAACATTCATCAACTCACAGCCAATTATTAGTTTTAAAATAATTTTTTTAAAGCTCTTATATTTTTTTATTAAAAATATGGCTACTCTGTTTTTCCTAAATCAAATTCATAGCCTTCAGTAATCATCATTGCCTTGCCTTTTCATATTCTTTGAAATTACAAAACTAAAATGTGTTAAAGTTAAATTTTGGAAGTACAAGTTCAACACTGATATTTAGGAAGAATTTTAATAGAAAAAAAAGTATTTCAAATTTATCCTGTCACTTCTAGAGTTGTTGGTTACATGATAATAAATTTAGTCTTATTTAGTAGAGGTCTCAATAATACCACTTACCTGTGGCAAGTAAAAAATGTGTTTAGCAAAGATGACCAAAACTAATGCAAGTTACTTTTAATAAATACTACTATTGTTTGTTACCTGTTAACCAAAAAATACACCAAATAATGTCACTGCAACTGTGTGGTCTATTCCTATTGACAGATCCTTATTAATTTGTTTCTCTATCCTTCTCATGGCTATTGCCAAGTCTGGTCTCACATGCTGTGGGCTTCCCCCATGACACTTTAGCCAAGTAGTGCCAAACCCAAGCTCTCTAGGATACCTCTTATCACCCTCAGATAACCATAATGGCTCCCAACTCCCTTGCAAGCCTGAGACCCACTCCTACATCTCCTTCATGGATCCAAACACATGCTCAGGCCACAACAGATATCAGGCAGGTACTGTATAAAGTACTTTGTTTTAGGATTACCCATGCATTGTTGTGGCCCATTAACACAGATAATCAAAAGGTGACTGTACTGGACAGTACTACTTCAGCTATCATCAGTGTGAGAAAACATCTGCAAATAGTTACGGTGGAATAACTCAACTAAGTTGGGTGTTTTCAAATATGTCTCAATTTTTTAATTATAAGTTAATGTTTCAAATAAGCATTTAATAGGGGCGCCTGGGTGGCGCAGTCGGTTAAGCGTCCGACTTCAGCCAGGTCACGATCTCGCGGTCCGTGAGTTCGAGCCCCGCGTCGGGCTCTGGGCTGATGGCTCAGAGCCTGGAGCCTGTTT